CCCTGATCTAGTCCATCATTAAGTCCCACAGTGGCCAGTAGAAAGATTTAGGAAGGCCACAAACAACACAAGTGGGCAACAGCCCTCCTCTACTATATTCTTCAGGAATTGGTAACATTTGCTCAAAACTAAGTAGCATGTGGTCACCTTGGGTCATAACCACCAGTATCTATGACTTCATCCTACTCCCTTTGAAAGTCATTGCCATATCTTGCAAAGACATTCAAGAATATTCCAGATTGATTACTAGCTCCATTTTCTACACTCCAGGCAACCATATTGATTGAGGGTAACCAGAAGTATCCCAGGAAGGAGCAAGAGAAGAGAATCTATTCTTCCTAACATTCATGCCAGACAACCAGTAAATTAGCTGTTACTCCTTTAAAAGGAGGTCCAGAAATCTAGTTGTTCCTTATTTTAACACTTTCTTTCTATAAGAGGTCTGGATCAAAGAGCTTTAAGGGCTTGGATCTTATCTGCTGAACTGAAAATTAGTTACCATAATCCTGATGAACAGGATTCCAATTTCTATCACCCTTTTGTTTCATTAGCCTACTCAAGAAGTTAAAATAAATTTGAATGTTCACTTCAAAGTAGAAACACAGAGCATTTGGAACAATACTCCTGATAAAATGCTCTCTTTTGTTTTGCTTTCTATATATCTCCTGGCAATTACAGCAGCACAAGGGTATGTATGATTTAATATCTCTATTTGAAAGATACACATTCATGAGGAGCAGGTTCTAACCAGTGCTGCAGTGATTATTTTTATTAAAAAAAAAAAGTCATGATGCTACAGGAGCCCATAAACCTTGGATAAGACACCTTAAACCCTTTAACTAATAATAGAAACAAAGGGTATTTAAATGAGACTGGAAAGGGTATTTTCATTGCGTGCACTTCTCCCAGGTCTCTTTGCTGTTCCCATCATGTATGAACTGGGAAATCCAGTAAAGTAGCAGCTGGGGAGATATTTTGCTTGTCTATGATTTTTATCCTTATATTACCATATGTTCCACGCTCCTTATACAACTCCAAGGGCAGAACTGAGATGAAGGATACTTTCTTGCATGCATCTGTATTCAGCATTAACCACTGAATACAGAGAAGAAAAAGACAAGTGTACACACACACACACAAACACACACAGAACTCACAGGCTGTATATCTGGTATATATTATAACTACTTAGATTTTAAAACTGACCCATAAATGTCACAGTTCCCTTTTTCACATGTTTCACATCATGCTACTGTGAGAAAGCATTTATTAAAATTGTCTAAGCAATGTGTTTAAAAATTGTATAACAATATAATTTGTGTTCTGTCTGAAAAGCTGTTTCTCAAATGTAGATGAAAGTAAAACTATCCTAAAGCTGAACCCAGGCTTAAAGAACTAAAAGACTATTTATCAACACAGAAGTTCACCACAAGGTTTTTAAAAGAACCTAATATTACAATCCAATTAGCAAGTAATTCCACACTTTCAGTTTAAGAGACTTTTTAACTGCAGCCACCAACAAAAGCCATAGTCAGAGTCTAGAGAGATACGCTTAACTTCATGCTGGATTATGGCCAAAGTTCTTAAATATCCCAATATATGAAACCACTTTCCACAGACATTCAAATTCACAGTTATATAAATTTTGTAGAAAAGGGGAGAGGGGAGAGAACTTGCAGTCTATTGGAGAAGTTTTCTCCTCCTTCCACAGAAAAAACAACAATCAGGTAATTATGCAGAGGCACAACATTTGCCCAGATACAGGAAGCAACTCTGCAGCTTGCCAATTTGCTCCACCCAAGAACCCAGTTGGTATAAAAAGCTCTGCCGCAAAATATAGCCAGTGACACAATCCAGGAAGAAAGTTTGGGAGTACTGTGGAGAGTTATACATATGAATTCAAGAAAGGAGACCAATCATTGCCTGATTCATTTCGCTTGATATTTGTACTGCCCAGATGAGTAGAATCCCCTTCAGAAAACTTAGGAACGAGAGTTGCCCTGTCTCAGCTGAAGAGTCCTTTCTCTTAAGTTTAAACTGAAGTGCACAAAAGCAAAAGAAAATGACAGACAAATCTTTTATTTGTTTCAAAATGCCAAACCAAATAGAATAGAGCAAGTCATTCTTTGATGCCGGACAAATGGCACATACCACGCTGAATGAAAAAAGACAGACAGGAAGACATCAACCTTCCCTAACCCCACAATCTCCACATCTTTAGCCCTGGATCCAGCAGCTGACAACTCTGCAATTATCAAATGCTGAAAATATAATTCCTTTAAAGGAGATTCTTTTCCTTCCTTTGAAATCTGAGAATAGTATGTTCTTATCTATATCAAGAGTAGTTATGACAAGTGAATAATATCAATATTAACCACCTCTGAGTATATCTTTCCTAAGAAAGTCCTATGAACTTATTGTATGAAATTTATGGGGTTGCCA